TGTGTGAATTCGCATATGCCTCATGAGTATATATTTGTACGATGCAGAATAACTGCACAAATTGCATTTGTGTTTCTTTCCATATTTGGCTTCGGCTGGATCAATTTGGACATTTCCACTGTCATTTTTCTTCGTTCCTCTTTTCTTTGTTGCTTTTGGCTTACTTTGATGCTGTTCTTCATTACCATTCACATTTACATTTGGATTGGCTCCATTCGTACCATCGTGGTCATCACTTGCATTGTTATTTGAGTTCCCATCTTGTGGTGCATCATATTTCTTCTTCGAACATTCGTCTTTCTCGGTCTTAATTTCTGTTTCCACATAATCAGGTTCACTTTTCAAATCCAGCTCGTCATCACTTCCGCTCTCTGATTTAATTGTGCCACTTGCTTCGATTGGCGATGGTGGTGGCGAGCACTGAACCAAATATGCGTCATCTCTTGGCTCAGCTTTGACATCGTTTTCAATTTTGATTTTGATTTTTGAGCCGCTTGGCTTTTGTTTTCGCTTACGTTTAACTCTACCATCTGAGGTACCTTCACCTGGATCTGAATTGAAGACCATGGTGATCTTTGTATAAATAATAAATTTATTAGTTTTAAAATGGAAAAATCTGTTATGAAATCAGATAAGGCAGAACATAATTCACATGATTAATGCAAAGAGCTACCTTTATTCTTTTTTAAACATTAGTGTGTTTTAAATAAATACCAATAACTTCACGAAAAATATACTTAAAATGAAGAAATATGGTTTTGTTGTGAACAAAATGTGTACATTAATGATTTAATGAATAAACATTGAATCAGTTGCAACACCATAAAGACGAAAAATTTCAAACAAATGTCAAACAAGCAACTCACAATAGAACGTGGCCGTTAAGGCTGGCCACGAACAGTTCGCAAGCGTTCAAGAACAACTAAAAAAATATAAAATTGTATTTGTTCGTTTTCGTTCATGAAATATTTGTTCGTGTTTGAACGCGAATAGTTCGTGATTGATTTTCATCATTTTTTTATATATTTTTTTATCAATTCGACATGATTCGTCCAAAATTCAAAGAATTCACAAATCTTAAGTAAAAAATAACAAACTACATTAGATTTTTGTTCTCTTCTTGAACTTCAAGGTGTTAAATTGTATTCAATTTTCGATGATTGTTTTTAGAAATCATGGTCTTAAGTTAATTCTAATTGGTCGTAACATTGCCTACACGTTCGTCGTATGGTTCTTTTAGGGTTGTGTTTGTTCTTGTACGCAGTTTTCGCGAACGAACACAAACAAACACGAACAGCTCGCGTTCATGACCAGCCTTAGTGGCCGTGACGTCATGGAAAATTTTAATGAACAAGAATGTTCTGGAAAAAAACTAGCAAATTCACAGAAACACCAAATTATCTATATTGAAAATCGAGAAAATCTATTCTCTACAGGACAAAACAGATGTTTTCAATCCAAAATTACTTAAATTAACTATGAATTAATATGTGAATGCCAAAAAATAGAATAAATATTATGATTTCAAAAATGAATGAATGAGCGATAGAAATGATTTTGTCAAGGAAAGTATGTTTATTAATTTACTTGTTTGGATCGGAACTAAATAAATTATGACTATTCAATGTCTAATTCTCACTCTAAAATAATGGTTAAAATTCACCTTTAAAATATTCAATATTTTTGGGCGCAAATAGAGTGCAATTACGTGTTACTCTGTCCAATGGCCGTCTGCTTCTGTCTGCTATGCTTTTATTGCGCAGTACTTATGATGAAAAAGTTCAATTTGTGAAGTTGGCAACGAGCGTGATGGAAACAACAGTAATGTGTGTGTTGGTATTTCAACGTTGGCAGTCCTTAAATTCAAATAAAACCAACGATTTTTAAAGGGAATTCATTCATCATTTTTTGAAATAAGCAATGGCATTTTAATTGACTCGGCGCTTTTTTCCTTTTATTTCAACGTATTAAATGGAGACAAAGAAAGAGAAATGCAAAAGATGGTAATGAAGATAACTTCAGTAGGGAAGATAACTTTATTCAATGCATTTTATTTGAATTTATGACATTTTTGATTCAATTCAGTTGATGATAATAAAAATTTGGAAATGATAATTTATTTTA